GAGGTGTATTGGGCACCTTGGACGTTTGACCCTGCCAAAGGGCGTATGATCCCATTAACTGGACACCGGCTTCCAATGGATTGCATTTTCACATGGCCCCGCTGCTTTGTGGGTCAGGATTTGGCTAGCCGAAGGCTCCGGTTGTGAATTCCTCAAGAAAATTCGCCTGCCTTGGCCTGGGCAACCTGGCAGTATTCAGTCCTCAAGCCACTCATGGAGCGTTTTTCTTTTTTATATAGATTATTGTACCATGATTTGCTTGGCATACAGTCTATCCTCAGACAAGTGTGAAATATAGTAATAATAAGATTAACCTCGGGATGATTGTACCCAGAGAGAAACACTGAGTGATGTAGCTGGGTGTCGTAAGCAGTTGCGTTCTTGCATTTTTCAATTTCTTTGCATCATTAGTCCACTAAAATTCCCAATTTTCTCTTCGAACCTACTTTCATCCTTCCTGTTTTCCTCCTATTGTTCATTCAAATGGGTAACCAAAAGACAGCAGCCAGAAGCGACGCACGGAAGTGAACTGAACTGAACTGGGGGATGACAATGTTTTCGTTTTTTGATTGCGCTCTGTTTCGGGGTTTTTGTTTATTCTCTGTATTGCACACAGAAAAGGGTGCATTAATGCCACTGACTCCAGTTTGATGCCATAAATCGCAATGTCTTTAGACAAAGACAATCTGTATCTCTAAAGGGTGTACATCGCCGCAGCTCGTAGTGTTCTGCTTTACGGTTGCGAGACCTGGCCTCTTCGAGCGGAGGATGCTAATCGACTTTCTGTATTTGACCACCGATTTCTCGGAAGCATTGCTCGTGTCTGGTGGGAACACCGGGTGAACAATGACGAGGTCCGTCGTCGAGTGTTGGGTGTGGATAGTCGTTCGCTAACAGAAGTAATCGCTCTACACCGCCTCCGATGGCTTGGTCATGTATTGCGTATGCCTGCCCATCGACTACCTTCCCGTGCTCTCTTTGCACGTACCGCGCACGGCTGGAAGAAGCACCGCGGCGGTCAGACCATGACATGGGCTAGAGGCATGAAGAAGTTGGCTTCAGCTTTGGCTTCGGTTGGTGCAGCCCACCTTCCAGGTTGGGGCCCAAGGGATGAGGATTGTCGTTGGTTAGAGACGTTGAGAGATATGGCCCAGAATAGAAGTCAGTGGCGCGAATGTTGTACGGTCTGTCTATCGAAATTCCATGCCCTGTAAAAAACAACAAATTGACACCAAAAACGTACAGAAAAGTGTACGATGAAGCACATAAAAAGTTTGGTATTCCGGTTGTCTGCCATTTTCCATTTTAATCGTTTCACCTTTCCACTTTACTCTGTATCACAATCCACCTATCCCCTCGAATTTTTCTCACTATTATTATTGTGGTGTTGGCACCATGCTTGTCTACAAGCCGGTGTTATATATATACATAGTGACGAAAATACACTTCCTGGGTACAAGTATATGAATGAACTGACAAAAGATTACCGGATACGGATGCCTGACGAGCAGCAAGGACCGCGAAACCAGTCGTGTGCTTCCAGGGAAATTTTGTCCAGTCATTCACATACTACCGATAATCCAACTAATCGCATTCCACTGGGAACCGCACAAGATGATTGCTGTTTCGGCCGTCAAACGTCACCGATTGGACCGGGTTTGTCTAAACCCTGTCCAGTTCCAATGAACTGATTTCTCCGTAAACAAACAAAAGTGCTTTTTGTGAGAGTTACCGAGCGAGGATGAAAGTTTTCGTGGGGTGTGATAAGCTCTTCTCCCGCCCCCTTCCTCGTGAACGTTATGGCATTGAAAGGTACGCTTGACGAGATATGTAGCATTAACAAGCCGATGGTGTGATTATCGCGATCAGCTTTTCCCCTCGAATGACTCGTCACAGATCAAAGATGTTTCCTCCTTCCTCCGTAATGAAAATAAATCCGGCTGGTGATGATTATTTGTGAATAAACTGGTTGATAGTTTGTACTATTTGCACCCCAACGAGAAGCAAAAAGTCAATCTGCCCAACCTAATCTGCTGGTTTTACATGATTGTTTGGGTTTAAAAATGCATGAAATGCCCGCCTTGATTTGCCGTTAATCACCACATGCCCTGGAAAACACTGTCTACTGAGGGATTAATTCTTTGTGAAATTATGCGCAAATGCCACTAGAAAAACCAACCTATTGTAATTGTGACTGTACTCCAAATTCTACGAAATTTCTCAAGTACCCGACGAGTTGACTTCAATGATGTTGGAACTTTCTGACTTATGCCTACTATCCACAAAAATGTTCAGTGATTAAAACAAAGGATTAACGATCAAATGTATTTGAAAGCAAGCATTTTGATACCTGTTGGATAACGTACACGAACACGATTAGGTGCTCGCTGACAATGATCCTTCGTGACAACCCACCACACCGAAACCTTCATCCTCCCTCGGTAACTCTCACAAAAAGTACTTTTATTTGTTTACGAAGAAATCAGCTCATTGGGACTGGACGGAGTTTAGACAGACCGGTGACATTTGACGGCCGAAACAGCAATCATCTTATGGGGTTGCCAGCGGAATGCAATTGGTTGGATTCACGTCCGATTCACTTGAAGTTAAAAAGGTATAGACTCCGGCTTCCAGTACATTATGATTGTTCTACACCACCCCGCTGCTTTGCGGGTCAGGCTTTGACTGGTCAAGCGCTCCGTTTGTGAATTCCCTAAGAAAATTCACTTACCTTGGCCTAGGCAACATAGTAGTATTCCGCCCACCAAAAAATCATGGAACTTTCCAATTTTTCATCAAAATTATTGTACTATGCCTTGTTTGGTACACAGTTCGAATTCAGATATGTGTAACACAAATTCATAAGAAATAAGTCTAAAATTTCTGTTTCCCTAATACAGATTATACGTTGCATTCTTTGTCTTCAATTTAAAACCAACATTTCAGATGGATTTCGATCAACCTATTGAAATTGTCAAAGGTGACACCCCGAGTTCCTATGATTTCCACGAATTTTATCGCGTCGCCATGCACGTGAAGTTCGATAGACGGACGTTTTGCTTACCTTCTTCGGTTACGATACGTCAGACTACTGATGACGAGGTTGCCCTTCCGGTGAGTTGTGAACGTACTCGCAAGCGTGTTTTTTTTCTACCCCTCGGTAAATCACCTTTTTGGGGTCTAACAAAAGAACACAAGTTTTCAATTAGAAAGTGGGTGTTGGGGAAATGAAATAAGGGAAGACAAATTTCGTAATAATTGCGCCAACTAATCCAACAATTTTATATTTGTCTGCAAAATCATGGATTAGATACTGGTAATAAACCTACTTAGGACTAAATCCCCATATGCTCTGCTCAGACTTGTGTTCTCATGCCCGGATAACCCACAAAAACTAACCGTAATTTGCTCAATAATCCAGACTGTGACCTACTGAGCTGTTGTCTGTTCGTTATTCGCTGTTCATGACGCGCACGGAGAAACGTCTTTATCTGTGTAGTCAAATACTCTGTTCAGCTCAGTTTAGTTCTTACAACCATTAACCATGTACTTTCGTGCACCGGTTTTGGCTGCTGCCTTTTGGTTGTCCATTTGGGTAAAACAGTAGAATGAGGATTAGAATGCTGACAGCAGATTCAGGTGGAAGATATTGCATTTATATAGACTGAAGTTATAAGAATAATGAGTAGATGCATGAGCGCCACTCTTTACGACACCCAACCATATCGCTCAATGTCCCTAACCATCGGTAACTATAACCTCGGGGTCCCCAGCCTGGAAGACTAGCGGGAACTATGTGACCAAGTCTCCTGGTTAGAGATTTTATACCCTCATGTCAGGTCTTAGTTTGACCACCCTTGATATTTTCCAAACGCTACCTGCGTCGGCGAACATCGCTCTCCGTGGAAACCTATCTGGTGACTTGCGCAGCACGTGTGTCAACCAGCATAATCTATGAAGGTCGACTAGCTCCAGTGGACGACCTCGATTATCTAAAACTCTACGCCTAACCTCAGCATTGCTCATCCGGTTTCCCCACCAGATTGTGCAATGCGACGTAGACAACGGTGTTAGAATAACGACAATCTATTTTTATCATGTCCCCGTGATGAACAAGTCTGTACTGTAAACCAACACTGGCCGAACTGTTGCAGTATATACTCGACCCTTCACAGACAGCTGGATGTCGCGACGGCGCGAAAGACGTCTCAAGTCGGCAACTGCCAACCGAGCCTTTTGTATGTGCACCAAAACTTCATCTATGATGCGTCCGCTAGATGAGATATAGCTGCCCAGATAGCAAAATTTGTCTACTTCCTCTACTACTTACCCGGTCAGGGGAATACTGTGACTATTTTTCCGCTATCTTTTAAGTACTTTCTAAGCGTTTTTTTGCTCGCGATGCAGTTAGCTCACTCGACCGTGCAGGATGAAAGTGATCAGCGATCCAAAGAAAACCGACAATTGGGTATCGATAAAGAATGGAAATTAATTGTATTTTTTCCTACTCAACTTCATCGCACCAACCATATTCCCCTGCTCTCTTCACAACTGTTTTAGCCGCACTGTCGCGTTTACTTCATTTCCTATCCACGACACGAGAATCTTGGTCGATTTCAGCCTACCTTGTTCTGTGCGGATGTGTCGGAAAATGTGGCTCCCCAGACTGAGATCCCCTGGTTTCAACTGGTCCCGGATGATTTTCGTTCAGAAAGGTGAGTACGTTTGAATCACTGGTTTTCTTTTACTGTCCTCCAACTATTCTTGTTAAATTTTCATGCTCTTTGACAATCTGTTCATTTTGATCCAGTTTAGTCATGAAGATAGCTTCCAAGCTCAATGGCTCTCTTTGAATTAAGAAATTCGTCATAGGCCAAGTATCTGAGAACGCACTAAGTAGTCTCCGCAATGTTGGTATTGAATGGGAAGCTGGAGAAAAACTGTGCAACCTAGAGTACACTGAAGACATTGGTTGCCTGTTCGAATGTATGGAGGATGCACAAAACGCACTTGACAGACAACACAAGTTCTGTTGCTCCGTTCGGTATGCACTTTGCACCCTCAAAGTGTAAAGTGATGCTAAAAGACTGGGTGTCACCGAGTCCCGTTCTGAAACTAGATGGTTAGGAATTAACTGAAGTTGACTGCTTCTCATATTTGGGTAGCTGTGTGACCAATGACGGTAGCACATCAGAGGAGATGACCGCCCGCATTTCCAAGGCTCGAGCTGCATACGCAGGATTAAAACACCTGTGACCACGACTTGATGTTTCACTGAAGTTGAAAAGTCGCGTATACTGCGCCGCTGTACGATCCGCTCCTCCTTATCGGAGCCAACCTTAAACACCAGTAAATGTGTTGAATGTTCATATAGTTTTGCGCGCTCTTCATATCCGACAGACCCAGTAGTTATATATATATATATATATAT